GTGTACTGCGTGGAGCTGAGTGTGGCCCTGATCACAAATGGGTGCGGACCAAACTGTACATATATTTTCGTAAATCTATGCATTGCACTCCCGCCGTGAATCGGTTTAAGTTTAACATTCTCTCTCTCTAGGTACTGTGGAGATGTATTGAGCTGGAGAAGGCGATGGCTGCACGCATGTGTGGTGATGTGAACTGCATAGCCACAGTAGGCGACCTGTGACACCACATTCGCGACCAGGTGACAGTAGCTGCCGACGAGATCACCGGGCACGCAAACTGTAAACGGCCTGATTGGTTTGATGAGAACAATGCGACGATTGGCACATTGGTGTCGGAGAAGAATGCAGTATTTGCTGCACATGTGGTAGACCCCAGTGACTTGGGGAAGAAAAGTCAGTTTCACAAACTTCGACAGTGACTGACCCGAGAGCTCCGTTGCATAAAAAATGCATGCTGGACAGAGAAAGCGAAGCTGGTGGAATGCTACGCCGAACATGGTCAACACAAGAAATTCTTCGACTCTTTGAAGGTGGTGTATGGACCGAGATTAGAGCCGTTGAGGAAGCTGATCCACGATAACTCAGGCGCTACCTGCACACAGACTGCAGACATAATAAAGATCTGGCAATAACACTTTGACTGCGTCTTGAACAACCGTTCAGAAATCGACTGGCCTACATTGAACAAGCAGCAGGTTGTAAAGACGCGTGTAGCGGACCCGCCGAAATTGGATAAGACACAGAGAGCACTTGCTCAGCTGCGAAACGGAAAATGTGCCGGATCCGACGGGATCCCGCCTGAAGTATTGAAACACGGCGGAACAACGTTCGTAATTGCGCTGCACCACTTGGTGCAACGCGTATAGATTGAAAACAAGGTGCCTGCTGAACTGAAGGATGCCCTTGTGCTGCCCCTGTACAAGGGCAAAGGGCGCCAGCAATGTTCCACGAATTACCTTGGCATCAACTCGCCGAGTTGTGTGAGCAAGGTGATTACCCGAATCGTGCTCAACCGCCTCGTCAGTCAGGTTGTAGAACCTAACATGTCGGAAGAACAGTGAGGGTTCCGTTCAGGTCGCAGCACTATACATACGGTGTTTGCGGCTCGTCAGTTGCAGGAGAAGTGCAGAGAACGACACCAGCCGTTGTACTCGCTTTTTGTCGATTTCACCAAGGCATTTGATACGGTGAACCGCGAGGCATTGTGGCTGGTGTTGGGTAAGTTTGGTTGCCCGCGTAAGTTTGTAAGTTTAATTGAATGTCTGCACAGGGGTATGCGAGCGAGGGTGCAGCTGAGTGGAGAAACCTCGGATGACTTTGCAGTTATCTCTGGTGTGAAGCAAGGCTGTGTGTTAGCTCCTGCCCTGTTTAATATATATATCTTCATGCAATGTTGTCCTGTGCTTTTGATGCCGCTTGTGCTTACGGTGTGCGTGTGGAGCATCGTATTGATGGTGCGTTGCTAAACACCCCTTTGTTTCGGTGCGAGAACTCTAGTCTGTGAGACAACTATCCGTATGTTGCTGTTTGCTAACGACTATGCATTGTTTTCACACAGCGCGGATGAGTTGCAGCACATGACTAGTGTTCTGGCTTCGACAGCGGCCAAATTCGGGCTCACCATCAACACAAGCAAAACTGTCTGTCTCTTTCAGCCTTCACCGGAGGTGCAATCTTCAATATTGCCGCGAATCAGCATTGGTGCTGAAGTATTGGAAACCGCCTCCCGCTTTTGCTACCTTGGGAGGGTGATGTCGACTGATCAACAGCTACACATTGAGTTGCGTAATCGCGTGTCGAAGGCAGCGGCGGCATTCGGGAAGCTTGAGTACCGAGTGTGCAACAACCACCAGCTTACCATTGACACGAAGCTGATGGTATACAAATCCATGTTGCTGTCCGTTCTTCTATACGGCAGTGAAACGTGGGATGTGCGATATCTCGGGTGGTTCCATCAACAGTGTTTGCGACATCGGTTGGTGTGACATAGTTGCGGACACGTAAGTGCTGAGTCGAAGTGGAATGTATGTAGTGGACTGCATACTTTTGCTGAGACACCTGAGGTGGCTCGGTCATGTGAGCCGTATGGATTCGACACGCATACCAAAACAACTCTTATTTGGTCAGCTAAGTATTGAGAAGCGGCATGTGGGGAAACCAAAGTTACGTTACCAGGACATGATCAATGTGAGCCTCTCACGTTTTACTTTCGATTGCAAGTCACTGAAATCGAAGGCGGTTGATCGACGTGCATGACGCGACCTGATCACGAAGGCAGTTGCCAAGATGTAGGAGAAAGGCCTCATGAATGCGGAGAAGAAGCGGCAAGTGCGGAAACGGTAAGCGCCGATGAGTTGTACTCCATCGACTTCGAGGTCATGGTGATGTAGCACATGCGGTCGTGAGTGCCTGAGTCAGGGAGGCCTAGTGAGCCATGAGCGAGGCCACTCGGGAGCACCACCGAAACGACAACGAGTCCTGCAGCGAACGTAGACAGAAACGGCGCAGCGTTTGTAGGTACGTTGCATTCGATTTACTGAACGCTTGCTTGCATGTTAAGTCTATTTATTCCAGGTGGTGGGTTTTCAATTTTGTCAATGATTTGGGAATGATTTATAGTTTTTAATGTGTATACCACAGAGAATCCACCGGTCGGAATCCGAAAGTCTGGTGCGTTGAACCTCTGTTTGTCGAAGGCAGGTGAGCACGAGCACCTGCTGCTGTCTGTAACCGTTGCTTTACTTTTATTACGGATAAGCCAGTTTGCAGAGCTTAGTAACCTGTTCAGATTGCCGAGGCACAAGATGGAGTAAAAGCCTTGCCTGCAGTTAAGTATGTAGTACTTAACTGCTATCAGTAGAGTAGATGCCCTTCAACCTCATTCATTCCCAGGGCATACTTCATCCAGCTTTGGCTACGATGCACAGTCGGCCTCACGTCCTCAGTTCAAGATAGAACTACACCTATGTGTCACTTATGGTAATAAATCTGCAGAGACTCACTCTTGATGAGTAAGCCCACTAGCAATACTGGGACCTCTGTTGCGTTTGCATTCACGCATAGCATACTGCGCAGATTCATTTCTCAGCTGTATGAGTGATCGGGTTTCGACACTTAACTTGGCATACACCTATGCGAACACCTACTTTCCACCGACTGCAATCGGTGCAAGAAAGTAATGTAAGTTATTTAGTCCAAACGTTTTCATTAGAAGTGCAACCACTCATCCAGCGGTTAACATTTGAAAACGTAGTATCTTTCTTTAAGGAAATATTCATATGATTTCGGGGTAACTCATTCATTTTCATTCAAAAATTATGATCTAGGCTATCGAATGCGTTTGATCCAGTTGAAACCACACAAGAAGCAGAATGTAGGGACCCCACTGACTTCGTGACTACATCTTTTGAACCAAAGCTTCTAACCACTGGAATATTCCATCCAGAAGTTTCTATCCACGAGGGCAACACGCACTAACCAGGCCAAGCCTCCCAGTAAATATCCCCACCTTTTAATACCACTTCATCCGCGGATAAACGCACGGTTTCGCCCACCCAGGCGCAACCGCAGCGCATAATATATCTCGAGGAAAGCAGTCAATGGGCACACGAAAAGACAGTCATGATCGAGGAAACCTTAGCGGACGCTCCGTAGTAGTGAGTTTGTTGCGAAACATCTAAAACAGCCCTTGGCATTGCTCACCAGATGTGAGTAATGCGACGTATACACTTGTCATGATAACTGGTCAATCTCTTGGTGTCTTCAGTCCACTTGGCCAAGTCTCTGACTCATGCAGTAATACCTACTTTACCCGTCGATTACGCACTGTACCTTTGACTGATAGACTGATATCCCGCAGTCTCCATGGATGGTTCAGCCTAGGAAAAGCCACATGAGTCTTACTGAAACTTGGCAAAGTAAATCAAGTAACCGTTCCATGCAGTCGAAATACTTGTGCCGTTGAACATAAGGCTTGCACAAGTTAGATGCTCTTTTATCTGACACAAAGTTGCGTTTAAAACTGTTATTAGCCCTCCACACTAAAGGAGGCATGAATGAGGTGAGGTCTACGATGCGAGCATCACTTTGGGACTGGGACAATTGCGGTAAAACATTGGTTATCGGAAAGGCATCTGTTACTTGGCCGTAAACTTTGACCCAACTTCAGGTGCTGAGTACAATGTGTGTATAAATGTTAATTGCAGTGGATCCACTTTTCTCTATTTTGGGCGGCTTTCATGAAAAGCTGCTTAAACTAGCGTCACGATTCCAGAGGGACGAGCAGCATTTGCACGGGAATCTTTGCCTGTAGTACATGCCTAAATGATACGCAGAAATCTGAAGAAAACAGCTACAGGAAACGTTAATTGTGCAGTATGAACTGCTGACCTCAAGCTGTGTGAAAGCTTGCGAAGACGCAGAGGTGGTATGGCGAATGCACGTCGAGCAGGACGGGAAAATGGGTCTCTGTCAATGAATGATAGGCGCTAGAGGAGCACAAACGACCGTCACTCAGATTGATCCGGATTCCTTTCTACATGTTCCTCACACTGTTTTGTTAGTACCAATAACTATGCAATAACTATGCTAATTGCTATGGTACAAAAAATTGTGTGTGCGTGCGTACGTGACACTGTCTTGTTAATCTGCTCTGTGACAGTAAGGGAGAGAACTTGTACAGAATGATAGTCGCTATTCTTATTGCCTGGGGACGATTTACCCAGCGTGTTAGCAAAAACAAACCGTGAGAGAAGAATGCTCCTGTGAAAACTTCGAGGTTCAGACAATATGGTCACCAGTGCTTTGGTGGCAATTTGCCGTACCCTACAGTCACAGTCACAGCTGAAGAGACCGTACACCTGAGCGAGAAGAGGGGCGTCCTTGAAATTCGTATGACTCACACTGACCTCGCGCTAGCCTTTGCGTTGGTCGAAGCCTGCGTCCCACACCCAATACTCAAGCACACAAGCGAATTGCGTGACCTTGGGACATTGTGTAGTGTATAAGCCGTTCCATCGCACAGCTGTCATTACATCCGAGTGGGCCGAGTGGGTCACTTCCGTCCCTCTGCCCGTGTTGTTAACGTGGAATGAGGAGCATGCATATTGTCCCTCTCCGACTATGTACAACAGTTGCATTAAAGATTGGAAACGGCAAGAAACAGGTCAGTGATAGTGAATTATGTTTGACAGTCGAAATGGTGGTGAATAGGTTGCGCTATATCCCAGTTAGCTCGCCACATTCTCCTACGGCTAATTGGTCTAAACTGCTTGCGGTAATGCGTTCGTTTCTCTAAAGGAGGCCGAGGTAATCCGCACCAAATGTTTATTCCAATAGGGGAAACGGCCATCTAATGCTTCTCCGGATTGATGTTAGAAGTATCTGGCTTATAAGCTGCTGAGACGGATTGATGTGTTTTTAGACAAGTTCCACTTTTCCTCCCTAGGGTCTGCTTTCACTTGATACACCCCTTACTACTTTTGATGTTCTACGAACTCCGTCATTTACTCTTCACTGTCTGTGGTAACAACTTGTTATTCTTGCAAATTCCAATTCAACTGCTGAGACCGGTATCGTGCGATAGTAAACTGGTGCTCTTTACTGCAGATTTTTCTCGTATTCTAGGTCCGTAGGCATGAAACATTGTTTTGTTGATAACTGAATGAGCCGCGGCAGCTTTAAATTTGTGAACCTTGTAATGGTCACCGTGGTAAGCAACTGTTTTAAATAGTCCCTTTATTGTCGTGAACGAAATTCGCGGTGTTTTGTTACGGTCGATCTAGGACATCACCTGGCATCGTCATTGCTTTACACCAGCTTGCTTATTGTAATCGCTAATTGCAAACTTTGACACAGCATAAGATATAACGTTCTCACGCTCCGATTTTATTGTGATTGATTCCCGTCAAACCAGATGCATACGTCTCAATAGATAACTGAAAGGCGACAGCGAAATAAATACCCTATTCCTTTTGGACAATAAACCATTTCTCCGCGAAAGTTGAAATATGAAGGCAGTTGCACCGCGAAGTGATTCCGTGCTTTTAGATACCTGTTCGAAAACACTTCGTAGGCTACCAACATAAAATATGTATACAAATTAAGTATTGTTTCTTTGAAATCGTCAATCCTTAGTTAGTAATTTAAACTCCTAAATTTTTTGGTGGTGCTCTCTACTCCGCAAAGGCTCTCTTATGCGGGCGTTTGTAATCGGCATGTGTAAGGTCGTCCTGTGCACAATTTCACGACATAATCCGAAGGTGACTGCTCCGAATTTGTCGCTGAAGACCGTTTGAGACTTGTTTTGTGACTTACGACTTGTCTACCTGGTTTGCATTTGTTTATACCATGATACAACACATTACTCTTTGTATTGATGTATTCCCACTTACAGCGAATTTCTCAAGAGTAACCACGAAGTGGTTTTTCCTCACGCAGGTTGTAACGTGGTGTCATATGTGGACCGTATGTGCCGTGGAAAATCACAACCTGCGACGCGCATCATTCATCGCGATACCTTACACTGTGCTTATTATCTACTGCATCATGATACGCTTCAGATATGGCTCGGAAACAAAGTTCACTGAGATGGTCCACAATTTAGACTTCCACGATGCGTACCAAAGATACAGCAACAATCCGGCAGACCCACTATTACCAAAGCCACTCAACCCAGCTGGATTCAGAGTGCTGCTAAGAAACTCCAACTCATTCGAGACGAGGGATGTCGTGATCTTTATCAAGACAATTAGTGAAAATTACTCATTGAGAAAGCAAATTCGGGAGACTTGGGGAAACGCAAAGTGCTACGCTAAACACGGATTCACAGCCCAGATAGTGTTTGTTGTGGGTGTTTCTGCACCTGATGTTGCTCAACAATCTGAGAAGCAACAGCGTCTGAACTCGGAGCATCTACTCTATCATGATATCATTCAGTTTGATTTTGTTGATGCATATCGCAATAACACTTACAAACTCATGTCCATTTTGAAGTATGCGACTGAGGCATGTTCAAAATCCAGATTTGTGCTGATTTTCGATGAAGATTTTTTGGTTAGTCCAAAAAATGTTGTGCAGACGCTGGCCAAAGTGACGCAAACACATTATCCTTACTACATCGGAGGGCACATAATGGAAGGCGCTGGTCCCATACGCAATTGGGCGGACAAATGGTTTATGACCACTATCCAGTACCCATATGTGGACCTCCCCCGTTATCCGACTGGCGGATCGGTTTTCATGAGTATGGATGTGGCGAAGCTGCTCGCGTTTGGATTACGGTATGTGCCATTTCTCTTCATAGACGATCTACTTCTCGGCATTGTACTGCATCAATTCGGTATAGCCCCAGTCCGAATCCCTGAGATTTACTACAAAGTTAATCTTGAGAGTGTGCACCAAGACGAACTACGGACCGTGGTCTCAGCACACGGTTTTGAAAGTGTGGAGAAACAGATGTGGGGTTGGGGCCGTTTGGTCCATCCGTGTTAACTATTGTTTTGGCCTAGATCTTTTCAAGTCCGGCGCATCATTCATATGATGTCTGGAAATTTTTACATGCCTTTACCACATTTTGCAATAAAGATATCCATGCAAATTAGCCGGTTGCATCCGTTGTCACTATTTCAGTGTGTCTCACTTCTCTGATTCTTCCAAAACTGACTAGCGAGGTAGCAGCCCTTCAATGCTCGCCATAATGGTTAGTTTCACTTTCCTTCCTCGCGAACATTGTCTACACAACCATATCGACCGGTGAACTGCTACTCTTTAGCCTCGTTAACGCGGTTGACGTTTTAATCCATCCCGAGACTGCGTGGGTATTCGTTTAGTTTATTCACCAACACTACAACTTCCCTTTGCGATAATCTTCATTCCGATGAATGGGGACACTCTCTGCCGCGTCAGATGGTTACCGTAGAGTAGGTAAGCAAGTGTTCCCAATGCCTGCTGAAATTTGCTATACTAGAAACGCAAAGAGTATGGCTTTTGTTGGTTATCCCTGATGGCGTTGAATAACTAACGCCACCTCGTGCTCCCTGGATGTGTCCCGGTGTTAATTTCCCGAACGTTACACTACTTACCATCTGGTATCTTATTTGTCGCCCCACTGGGCCACTCAACTATGAACGCAGCGTGTTCAGGTTGTCCCCAGTGTACTGTTGTTGTGTACTGGCGCACATTTAGTGGTAGTAACTACTCAATATAACGAACATTGTGATTTTGCTGCGGCTCTCCCCAGCAGCTGTAAACGTCCATAACAATTCTACCTATGGGACCAAGTGAAGGAAGTTGAAATCTTTTTGTGTTTGTCCGAGGAATTGAACCATTGTCAACTTTTTGCGTCCTGTGGTGGATTTACTGGCCTACTGATTAGTATAGTGATAACATCGTATGCTCTTGGGATTAGAACAAGGATTAATTTATCCAACAGGCCGCGGTCGTTAGTAACACTTGCGCTCAGCCAATAGCTTGTGGTACTTCGTCCGAGTGGAATACGTTTTGGGAACGAGCTCATAGATTGTAGTCAGTTTGCGAAGTGTGGTTAGAAATTGTTGTACAAACAAATCACGCAAGTCATGGGTTCAACCGCTTCTCTTCTCGGGGTGTACATCCACCTGCTTTACGGTTAGCTCGAATAGACTAGCATTTCATGCTATTTGCTTGAGTCTTGACTAGAGGATGCCTGGCCGATTGATTACTAGTACACATGTCGACCGGAGAAGCACTGAGAATTTGGATACAGTTTCCATGTTCTCCGGCGAAATTTTCCGTTTGGTGCTACGCTAGTGAACACAACTGATTAATGGTTTTGGAGCATCGAGTTATTTGTTTTACCTTCGGAATTTGAAATTAAGCGTAAGCAAACTTGTTCTAGGACTGCAGTTTATGCATAAATTGTCTGGGTTGCTAAAACAGGCACATGGATTTCATTCAGGTAGGCACAGTCATTAAGTATGCATGCACAGGTGAGCACACAAATAAGCTTTTCTGCTGAATTTCTCGCTGGCTAGTAAGTAGCCGGCGGTAGCGCATACCTAACGAGTGACGATAGCCAAGAATCTGGACATAGGTATTTGTGCAGTAGTATTGATCTCCAAAGCAATAACACATAAATACACCTCGGCAATTTTATCCCACAGTTCACTGGCTGACTGTGTCAGATCCCAAACCTCGCTGAAGGGATCAGTAAGTTCGAATCCAGCTTTCGTCTGAAGACTGCAAATGCAATATGCGATAATTGGTCTGTTCTGAATAACTGCGTACCGCAAAGCACACTAATGAGGGTCTGTGTTAGGCAAGCTATCTTGGGTATTATCATTATGTTACATAACATCTTGCTTACATATATAGGGTGTACGACATGTGGGTGTTTCTGGGTCACCCTTCGGAAAGATCATATCTTTCTTCCTTCTTGCCTTCGATCGCTCTTTTGTCACGACTTGTGGGAGATTTATCAGTGTTGTCTATAGGACTGAAACGATAGATGAGCAGGGGACATTCCAATTCCGCTGGTATGACTCCAATTCCCTGTTTCAGTATTCTATGCTTCACAGCTTTTATACACGTTCTGATACATCACTTGAGGCATGATGTCAGTTAGCCGATTTAATATGCTGGATTTCGTAGTAACAAGTCAATTAATTCCTTTAGGCACCCTTGGCGAGTGAATATTCAGCTACAACACATGCTCAGTAATTTACGAAAAGTAAACATTACCGAAGCGGCTTAAGAATAAACAGGAACGCCAACGTGTGGTGAATCGGCTGATTAGTTCTGACAGAAAACATGATAGATACAGAGTGACCGAAGTGGGATAGGTTTGTATATGAGCATATATTAGCCTTTATTTCTGTCTAGTAGACGCAATTGAGAGGCATTCAACTAAGGCGTTATGTAGGGGATGACTTGTATCGGCCAGTATATTTGAACCCTAATTCATACAAGAATTGATGTAAAGGAACATAAGTGTTTTGACAAAATTGTGCATCGGGACGCAGCTACCTCTGACCAAGTGTCGTAGTGACTTGACAGTTAACTTGAAGTGCTTGCCCAGAAGGTCAGAAAACTTCACAGGGAAGCGGGGGAAAAACACAGGCATGGATAAAAGGCAGTATAAAAACACGACGGACAGAGGAGGCTATCAGGTAAGCAATGTAGAGCGATAACCTTCTGACTTTTATGAATGTTTCATTTTCCAAGAAGCATCTAAGGCAAATCGTAATACCACACTAATGTAGAAGAGCGTAATCCGTCACCGTCAATGTGGAGCATGGGGCACTGCCTAAGGCGCTGCTAGCATCTGGCTCCTCTGGGTAAAGAAAAATATATGATGACACTTCGATGCTTTAAGAGACAGGTTACGAGCTATCGACTAGACACTGGGGCCGCTCAGAAGGTCTCGTAACTTGACTGAACAATCTATGCTTCGATGACTGATACCCAGGACGATGTTGTCAGCACAATTTAGTAGGGTCACTTGTTCGAGGACTGGTATTAAGTCAATGTAAGTAGAAAAGTAAAAAGGTGATAGAATTGCCCCTCTGGCCTTCGCAGAGGATAATCAACGGTGCCCTATCTGCTGCAACGAGCAGGGTAGATAAAAGTTTGAGTGCTACTGCTCAAGCCTTCCCGTCTTCTTATCCCCTTCTTGCGCTTTTTCATCTTTATCGTACCGTTCTAACTTTACCTTTATTCCTCCATTTTCAATCCCCAATTCTTGACCCTCCCCACCTTGCTTCAATAGTCGCTTGTCTTCTAGCTACAACTCACACACAGTCACAGAGCGTCACTCCAGGCTAGTCGACAAGTCCATGTTCAACCAACCGGGCAACGTCAGTTCATCCGTTTCCCTTTGGAGTCCTCGAATCTCGCTAAGACTGATATGCCTCAACCTTGCGCACTTTGCTACAGACTGGCCAACAGGCAGCACTTGCCCAAACACTCGAAACACTGTCGATCGATATTCGCTGTTTTTCGGAAATCCTGCAAGATTCGTGCTCTGTGTTTACTCTGCGACCCCCCAAAAGCGACAATGGCGGCACAGTCTCATTGCGCCTGTCTGGCGATGATGCGTCTTCAAATGCAGGTCAAGCTGGCGTCGACACTGTTTGTCATTGCGGCCTATGCCCCTATAAATTCGAGCACTGATTCGGTGAAAGATGATTTCTATCAGCTACTTAACAATCCCCTTTGTTACGGAAGTAACACGGATATTGTGGTGTTGGCTGGTGATCTAAACGCGCAAGTCGGAAAATCGTCCTCTGTTGAGCATCATCTGGGCGTACAACATGGTGTATGCTCCCGTAATTATAACGGTGAGCAATTGCTACAGCTGTGTGAAGACGCTCCTCTCTTTCTCGCGAGCACAAACTTTCGACACAGCACCTGCAGAAGAGTGGCTTGGCGCGCATCAGCCTCGCACCAGCCATGCACGCAAATCGATCATATCGCGGTCATTTATCGCTGGAGAGGCTGTGTCCAAAACTGTCCCTTGGTTTAGAGCACGAGTGTGGACTCTGATCACGCATTTGTCTGCGCCGACTTCCGGGTGCGTTTCGGTGGACGTCCTCAACATCCATGTAAACGGATTGACACCAGCCAACTGGCGAAGCCAGGTGTTCTGAATGTGTATCAAAGTGCGCTGACATCCGGACTGAGTAAGCGCCCACTGAACACCGTTGAAGAGCACTGGTTGCATATTCGCCAAACGTTACTATCAGCGGGCATGTCTTCCTGTGGCACATCACATTACCAAATTGGACATTGGGTCTCTACACAGTCTTAGGAACTTATGGATGCTAGCCGATATATTCCGGCTGCAAGCAAACACAATGAGACTCGTAAAAATCTCAGGGCAAAATTGCGTGCTAGGCTGAAGAGAGACCGCAAAGTCTGGTGTTCTCATCGTGCCTCGGCGATAGAAGCAGTCGCTGCCGTTGGTAATCATCGTAAGTTATTGCGTCTGATACGGAAAAAGGCAGCAGGAGAGCTGGTATTAACGAGACCATACACGACGAGAATGGCAACCGATCCACAGCCTGTCAAAACGCTTAGAGCATCGGGCCGAACACTTTGCAAGGCAATTTAACCAACGTGAGTTATCGCTTTCTTTTACCGGCATTGAGCGCCCTTCTTATTGAACGGTCTCCTTGAATCCTCCCTCATGCGCACAAGTCGAGCGTGAGATCAGGCTGTTGAAATTGCATAATGCCGCAGAGGCAGATAAAATTCCCCCAGCCCTTTTCAAATTCAAGGTACCTGCTCTTATGGATGATTTACA